GACTTCAGTGAACCCAATTTGTGATGTCTTTAGGGCTTTGGACTTCAGTGAATCCAATTTGTGATATCTTTAGGGCTTTGGACTTCAGTGTATTCAATTTGTGATATCTTTAGGACTCAGACTTCAGTGAACCCAATTTGTGATATTTTAAGGGCTTTGGACTTCAGTGAACCCAATTTGTGATATCTTAAGGGCTTTGGACTTCAGTGAACCCAATTTGTGATTTCTTAAGGGCTTTGGACTTCAGTGAACCCAATTTGTGATTTCTTTAGGGTTTTGGACTTCAGTGAACCCAATTTGTGATATCTTTAGGGCTTTGGACTTCAGTGTACCCAATTTGTGACATATTTAAGGATTGGACTTCAGTGTACCCAATTTGTGACATATTTAAGGATTGGACTTCAGTGTACCCAATTTGTCATATCTTTAGGGCTTTAGACTTCAGTGAACCCAATTTGTGTTATTTTTAGGGCTTCGGGCTTCAGTGAATCCCATTTGTGATATCTTCAGGGTTTTTGACTTCAGTGAACCCAATTTGTGATATCTTTAGTGTTTTTTACTTCAGTGAACCCAATTTGTGATATCTTTACGGCTTTGGACTTCAGTGAACCCAATTTGTGACATTTTAGGGCTTTGGACTTCAGTGAACCCAATTTGTGATATCTTTAGGGCTCAGACTTCAGTGTATTCAATTTGTGATATATTTAGGACTTTGGACTTCAGTGAACCTAATTTGTGACATTTTAGGGTTTTGGACTTCAGTGAACCAAATTTGTGACATCTTTAGGGCTTTGGACTTCAGTGAACCAAATTTGTGATATCTTAAGGGCTTTGGACTTCAGTGAACCCAATTTGTGATATCTTTAGGGCTCAGACTTCAGTGTATTCAATTTGTGTTATCTTTAGGGCTTTGTACTTCAGTGTACCCAATTTGTGATATCTTTAGGGCTCAGACTTCAGTGTATTCAATTTGTGATATCTTTAGGACTTTGGACTTCAGTGAACCTAATTTGTGACATTTTAGGGTTTTGGACTTCAGTGAACCAAATTTGTGATATCTTTAGGGCTCAGACTTCAGTGAACCCAATTTGTGATATCTTAAGGGCTTTGGACTTCAGTGAACCCAATTTGTGACATATTTAGGGCTTTGGACTTCAGCGAACCAGATTTGTGATATCTTTAGGGCTTTGGACTTCAGTGAACCAAATTTGTGATATCTTTAGGGCTCAGACTTCAGTGAACCCAATTTGTGATATCTTTAGGGCTCAGACTTCAGTGAACCCAATTTGTGATATCTTAAGGGCTTTGGACTTCAGTGAACCAAATTTGTGACATATTTAGGGCTTTGGACTTCAGTGAACCAAATTTGTGATATCTTTAGGGCTCAGACTTCAGTGTATTCAATTTGTGTTATCTTTAGGGCTTTGGACTTCAGTGTATTCAATTTGTGTTATCTTTAGGGCTTTGGACTTCAGTGTATTCAATTTGTGATATCTTTAGGGCTTTGGACTTCAGTGTATTCAATTTGTGACATATTTAGGGCTTTGGACTTCAGTGTATTCAATTTGTGTTATCTTTAGGGCTTTGGACTTCAGTGTACCCAATTTGTGATATCTTTAGGGCTCAGACTTCAGTGTATTCAATTTGTGATATCTTTAGGACTTTGGACTTCAGTGAACCCAATTTGTGATATCTTAAGGGCTTTGGACTTCAGTGAACCTAATTTGTGACATTTTAGGGCTTTGGACTTCAGTGAACCTAATTTGTGATATCTTTAGGGCTTTGTACTTCAGTGAATCAAATTTGTGATATCTTAAGGGCTCAGACTTCAGTGAACCCAATTTGTGATATCTTAAGGGCTTTGGACTTCAGTGAACCCAATTTGTGACATATTTAGGGCTTTGGACTTCAGTGAACCAGATTTGTGATTTCTTTAGGGTTTTGGACTTCAGTGAACCCAATTTGTGATATCTTTAGGGCTTTGGACTTCAGTGAACCCAATTTGTGATAATTTAAGGCTTTGGACTTCAGTGACTCCAATTTGTGACATATTTAAGGATTGGACTTCAGTGTACCCTATTTGTGACATTTTAGGGCTTTGGACTTCAGTGAACCCAATTTGTGATATCTTTAGGGCTCAGACTTCAGTGTATTCAATTTGTGATATCTTTAGGACTTTGGACTTCAGTGAACCTAATTTGTGACATTTTAGGGCTTTGGACTTCAGAGTGAACCAAATTTGTGATATCTTTAGGGCTCAGACTTCAGTGTATTCAATTTGTGATATCTTTAGGACTTTGGACTTCAGTGAACCCAATTTGTGATATCTTAAGGGCTTTGGACTTCAGTGAACCTAATTTGTGACATTTTAGGGCTTTGGACTTCAGTGAACCCAATTTGTGATATCTTTAGGGCTTTGGACTTCAGTGAATCAAATTTGTGATATCTTTAGGGCTCAGACTTCAGTGAACCCAATTTGTGATATCTTAAGGGCTTTGGACTTCAGTGAACCCAATTTGTGATGTCTTTAGGGCTCAGACTTCAGTGAACCCAATTTGTGATATCTTTAGGGCTCAGACTTCAGTGAACCCAATTTGTGATATCTTAAGGGCTTTGGACTTCAGTGAACCCAATTTGTGACATATTTAGGGCTTTGGACTTCAGTGTACATTTGTTCCTACATTAGACTATTTATTGTATTCCTTTTTATATATGTTTACATTAATTTTGTATAGTATCATTAGAAATATTTCTGGTTATGTTGATTTTTGCTTACACTGAATTGTAATGTTTTTTTTTTGATACAGGATCTCAGGGAGTTGAAATTATATGGCAATCAAATAGCAGAAATTCAAAATATTAACGGGTTTGTACATAATAGATCATTGAAAATTAAGAGTTGATAGATTATTAATCAGGATTTGGTAATCCTTTACTCTGTGTGTTGTTTTCTTTGGTGTTTTGGGATTTTTTTTAATCATAAATTTTAGAATTTAATATTACTATCAGTACTAGTTTAACACTCTTCATAATTGACATATTATTTCATTGCAGATGCCGTGAATTATGTAATCTTCTTCTTCAGCACAACAGAATCAAAACTTTAGGTTTGTGTATGTTTACAATTTCTTGTCTTCTGAATGGATTTCCAGTTTTTTCCTTGCTGTGAATCGTTCGAATTTGTTTTCATTTGATTACTTCATGTGAATACAACTGAACCATATACTGTGTTCTCACAAACAAATTGTTACACCAACGTAAATTTATCCTGGCAACTATGAAAAGATAAGGGTCTTATAATCTTGTGTTCACACCAGTGTTTCTTACAAAGACACGTAAATATAGCAACCATTGAATAATGCACACAATGGTACTGTAGATGTTTTAGATTTGACATACATTGTGAGGGTCTACTGTTTAATAAGAAAAACATAAATACCGATTACTGTGACACTCAAATTCAGTTTAGGATGTCATTGCACTTACAACACCAGTTGTGAATGGTTGCCGTATTACCTCCGCCATATTTGTGCTTCTTTATGCTAATGTAATGTGTTCATATCTGAGAGTAATAGTTAAGCCAGTGCCTCTCCTTCCAAAGGGTGATTAAATTTAGATATATTTAAGCCCCTGCCAGTGTAAATGCACACAAATACTGATGTGAACACGATAATAATGCTAGCATGCTGATGTAATAGATGAAAGTATTTGATGTAGCCGCATTTATTGTTCAGCATGTGTGCATTATGTAATTTGAAATAGCTAACATGAAGACAGATTTCATATATTTGATGTGAAGTTAATTTCTGTTTATTAGCATTCTCTATCAGGGATGTCTAGTGGTTACTAGTGCAAAGCTAGCTAGGTGATACTGTACTAATTACCATCACAGTGCAACTCAACGCCACGTTTTCGTTGGAGATGAGGCTTTTACCTTGCTTGCCCCTCTAGATAACAGACTCTTGCATTCTCTGTCTATTTCCAAATTTTTTTTGGCTTTCACAATTTACAAAAAAATATGTGTGAGGCTTATCCCGCACGCCAACAAGAACTTGATGCATACAAACATGACATCGTGGAAATGAGTAGTTGTTGTCTAAATAATGAATGGTTGCTGTCCAAATAATGAATAGTTGCTGTCCAGGTAGTGAATGGTTGCTGTCCAAATAATGAATAGTTGCTGTCTAAATAATGAATAGTTGCTGTCTAAATAATGAATAGTTGCTGTCTAAATAATGAATAGTTGCTGTCCAGATAGTGAAT